ATAACCACACCCCTCTTGTAAGTTTCTTGAGAAAGGTTCGTAAATGAGTCATATCCAGCAATACTGAACTCACATTCCTCTGGGGCGATTCTCCTGTTCTTGTACAACAGTTCTACAACACCTACAATATCTGGTTGGTGTACTCTTAGTAGTGTTTCAAACTCCTCTCTCTTATCAAGGAACGTGTCAGTATTAGTGGACATGACATTCAAGCCAGAATTTGTTCTCAGTAACGTCTCTGCTCTTAGTAATAATGTCATGATCGTGATGACGGCTAACCTGAAAACCTTAAGGATTCATATTATGCTCAAACGTCCACAAAACCTTCTGAGTCCCCCAGTGGAAACGTCCTCCGTTTTCTCTGTTTCCTTGATGACGTCATCGATAGGCCGTCTTTGTCTAAAGGGAACTTTGAATATAATCCGCGGATTTCGTAGCAAGACACTGTATGTTGGGACCTGTTGCCATCCAACCCTTTGTAATCAATTTAATTTTGCTTTTGATAGCTCAGTCAGAGCATTGTTAGTGAGGATAATAGTAGGGAATGAAACTGAGTTCATAGTCTCAGTTTCAACGTCAGAGTGTACAGTAAATTAATTCATCGAAATAGAAGTAGGTGGACTCCCTGGCCTATTTTGAGTGAGGGCCCCGCGGGCATTTCAACGGTTAGTGAGTGCCCGTCCCTTCATCCATACAGGTATGCCATTCCACTGTGTTGTAATTCGCCCTTCTTTAAGTGATTTGACCCAATTAATAGTTGATTGTGCAAGTGTTACAGTAACGTAGTTGATATGCTCTGAGTGAAGTCATATTTACGTCTTTAACGTCCCCTGAAACGTGATGTTGTTGTCACCGTTAGTAAGTGCCCGCCCCTTCACCCATGCAGGTCCCTAACGCAGCCTAGGCCGTGTCTGTAACGTGGATGTTGTATCCACTATGTCTGGGGAGATGTCCGAGGTCCAGTAGGATCAGTTACCTTCGTGAGACCCGACCGTCAGACACTTCAGACTACCTATGCTCTAAGTAATAACCCCCCCCCCCCCATTCTCAGAAGGTGCAGTATTTGCTAAGTACACTGTATTTTGCAAGGTGTGGTTAGAAATGTCATTGTTTACACGGCGCTCGCCTCCTGCTGTCCGGTAGGCGGAACTGGTGCCACCTCCCGGGTGGGGGGTTGAGTGGGTGGAGGGTGCACTGCTGCCCACTGGCCCTGTGTCGGCACACTTGTTTCCACTACTCTCCCCCTGAGTATAACCCATGTACACCTGTCCCCGTTCCTCCTCGACTCCTCCCTCTTCTGCTTCAAGTCCTGCAGGAGCTTCTTGTGCTGTTCCCTCTGCATTACCGTGCGGTCTGGGTGAATGATTACATCCCGAGATGCCTCGCTCCTTGCTAAGTTTTTTGCCTGTCGAATAACCTGCCATTTCTCCTCCTCACTCACTATTGTGATCCTGAGGGGGCGAGGCTTAGCCCACTACTTTTGTCACAGCCTCCTCACATCCTGTGGGGTTGATGGAATCTTCAGAACCTCTGTCCAAATATTTTGAAACAGCACCTTATCGTGTGTTTCCTTACTCACAGTTCCCTCCGCCTGGCTCTCTGGGACTCCAAAAACTATTACATTGTTCCTGCGCTGGAGACGTTCCTGGTGTTCCTCCTCTCCCCTAACAGTAGGTCCGTTAATTTTCATTTCTTCTACTACTTACTTACTACATTACGTACAATGTAAGTTTCATAAAGCAACTATCAATATCTTCTTTAGTAATGGTTTATACAGTTAATTTAGTCCAAGTAAAATATTTGATGCCATAAGTTTTGTATAATATTCATGAGCGCCTCTTCTGTGAGGGTCAATAAACAGTAATAGCTTACCCTTAAATTTTTTAAGTTTTCTTTGGTAAGTTAGCCATTCAGTCACCAGGCGGCACTACGGGTCAACCTGTGGTGACTAATAGTGGAGAGTTGTTCTTCCTTATTGGATATTCCTTGACAACAACAACAACACGCTTCACCATCTTGTATACTTCCGTCAATTTTCTCGTAAAACAGTTTATTTCTCCTCCTCCTGGACATTACAGCAAGTGTTTGGTGAGTTATTAAGGTGTGTTATATGACCTTGTTTACCTTAATACTGTATTATGACCTTTCCTGCTATGTGGAATGATAAAGATTCATTTTATGCCATAACGGGAAATTGATTACTAAAATAGATTTAACTAATGTGTTTTTTATCTTGTTATAAAGGAATATGACCTTTATTTGAGTGGTAGGTTGATATTTATGGAGATATGACCACTTTAACACTAGTAACAGGGCTTTAAAGATGAGGGACAATGTGGCGTTAAAACACTACACCAAACAAGCCATTGTTAACGATAAAGACATTAACAATTATAAAAGTGAAGTGACACAAAACACATTACTCATACATTATGTTTCTCGAGGTAAGAAAACTTTATATTTTAAGGTGAAATATTATCAGGTAGCTGCTAGGGTTAGGTTAGGTTTGATTACATTATATTATGGGTAAAGGTGGACGAGAAGGTTAGCATGACATGAAGGATGAGGGAAATTATGTGATAAAACACGATGAAAAACTGATCATATGACAGTTAATGGATGTCTGTACATGTTTTGTATTTGAAGAAATTTAATATTTGCCTTAGATATTCCTCCGGCAGTCCAGTCTTGTTGACGCGTGTTGTTGTCCAATTGTAAACAGTTAAGTTCTGATTCTGTTCTCACTTAAATTGTTAACAAATGACAGTGAATCGTATCCAGGCTTTATCTACCTTATATAATAGGTTTAATTGTTTTTGTTTTTGGTAGCGGACTTCACTATCTAGAGTCAGGAGTCTATGACCTGCGCTGATCCTATACATTTGGTATTTCCCGCACAATAGGATCTTAAACCAACTCTATTTATATGTTATGAGGATCATATTGTTGGAATCCATTCACATATTATACCATTTGATTCATTACAGCACCTTACAAGTAGCATTGGATAATAAGTGAACTGTGTGTTCCTATACTTATTGTTCTACCACAAGAGGAGACAAGCAAGCCATAGTTAGGGCGTCTTGTGACAGATGCTCATTGTCTTATTACAAGATAATTATCCTTGTGGAGGATGAAGACCTTCTACAAGAGTTCATCTGTGAACATGGACTAGTTGGCAGGATGTTAAGTGTTCAAAATGTGGCAGAGAACTGACACTCAACAAGAAATATTTATTTGTGTGTAACAAGAATTTACGCTATGCGGCTTCAAACACTAACTGGAATTGAACCAAAATTTATGGAAATATTCTTTTCATGAGACTGAACATGAAAATGGAAACGAGAATGCACAGAATCTAACAGAACCTGACCTAACCTTACTTAACATCCTAGCCGAGGTTCTCTTAGGGTCTGTGTTTTCTCATTTCCATTTTCGTGTTCAGTATCATGAAAATAGTGTCTCTGGAAATAATATCTCCAGGAATTTTTGGCTCAATTTCATAAGTTATTTCTGGTGCTAACCATCTCCTTCACCTTTACCATACAATATTGTGTTGGTCGTGTTAGGTAAGGTTAAGTCATGTTAGATTAGGTTAAGTCATGTTAGATTAGGTTAAGTCATGTTAGATTAGGTTAAGTCATGTTAGATTAGGTTAAGTCATGTTAGATTAGGTTAAGTCATGTTAGATTAGGTTAAGTCATGTTAGATTAGGTTAAGTCATGTTAGATTAGGTTAAGTCATGTTAGATTAGGTTAAGTCATGTTAGATTAGGTTAAGTCATGTTAGATTAGGTTAAGTCATGTTAGATTAGGTTAAGTCATGTTAGATTAGGTTAAGTATGGTTAAGTAAGTTAAGTTAGGAGAGCATCACAGTGGTTAATGTTAAGGTGAAATAAGCTGGGACCAATCTTCAGGTGACCCCAACTATGTTTAACTATATTAACTAAACAACTGGACACTGTAAATTAATTTACAGTAAGTAAAGTAAAATGTTGTGTTGTGTTAAGTTGTCCCATTGTGTGTGATGCTACACAACACAACTCACAACAGTAGACAACACAAAGCTGATGACAGTATAACATCACACTTTTGTTTTACATTAATATCTACTGTTTAGAGTTGTTTATCCCATATATATTAATATATGTATATTATTGTTACCTCAGGCTGATATAACCTGCCAGAGACTACCCCAGGCTGATATAACCAGCCAGAGACTACCCCAGGCTGATATAACCTGCCAGAGACTACCCCAGGCTGATATAACCTGCCAGAGACTACCCCAGGCTGATATAACCTGCCAGAGACTACCCCTGGCTGATATAACCTGCCAGAGACTACCCCAGGCTGATATAACCTGCCAGACTACCCCAGGCTGATATAACCTGCCAGAGACTTCCCCAGGCTGATATAACCAACCAGAGACTACCCCAGGCTGATGTAACCTGCCAGAGACTACCCCAGGCTGATGTAACCTGCCAGACTACCCCAGGTTGATATAACCTGCCAGAGACTACCCCAGGCTGATATAACCTGCCAGAGACTACCCCAGGCTGATATAACCTGCCAGAGACTACCCCAGGCTGATATAACCTGCCAGAGACTACCCCAGGCTGATATAACCTGCCAGAGGCTGATATAACGTGCCAGAGACTACTCCAGGCTGATATGTGATATAACCTGCCAGAGACTACCCCAGGCTGATATAACCTGCCAGAACTACCCCAGGCTGATATAACCTGCCAGAGACTACTCCAGGCTGATATAACCAGCCAGAGACTACCAGGTTGATATAACCTGCCAGAGACTACCCCAGGCTGATATAACCTGCCAGAGACTACCCCAGGCTGATATAACCAGCCAGAGACTACCCCAGGCTGATATAACCAGCCAGAGACTACCCCAGGCTGATATAACCAGCCAGAGACTACCCCAGGCTGATATAACCTGCCAGAGACTACACAATGTCAAGCAGAGAAAACAAGTTTAAATGTGAGGAATGTGGGAAATGTTTCTCCCGGAAGGGTAATCTCAAGACACACATTCTTGGACACAGTGGTGTTAAGGAGTTCAAATGTGAGGAATGTGGGAAATGTTTCTTCCGGAAGGGTGTTCTCAAGACACACATTCTTGGACACAGTGGTATTAAACAGTTTGAATGTGAGGTATGTGGGAAATGTTTTGCGGTAAAAAGTGTTCTCAAGACACACATTCTTCAACACAGTGGCAAAAGAGAGTTCAAATGTGAGGAATGTGGGAAATGTTTCTCCTGGAAGAGTACTCTCAAGACACACATTCTTGGACACAGTGGTATTAAACAGTTTGAATGTGAGGAATGTGGGAAATGCTTCACCACCAAGGGTCATCTCCAGTACCACATTCTTGCACACAGTGGCAAAAGAGAGTTCAAATGTGAGGAATGTGGGAAATGTTTTGCTGTAAAAAGTGCTCTCAAGTCACACATTCGTGGACACAGTGGTATTAAGGAGTTCAAATGTGAGGAATGTGGGAAATGTTTTGCGGTAAAAAGTGCTCTCAAGTCACACATTTGTGGACACAGTGGTATTAAACAGTTTGAATGTGAGGAATGTGGGAAATGTTTTGCGGTAAAAAGTGCTCTCAAGTCACACATTCGTGGACACAGTGGTATTACGCAGTTTGAATGTGAGGAATGTGGGAAATGCTTCAACACCAAGGGTCATCTCCAGTACCACATTCTTGCACACAGTGGCAAAAGAGAGTTCAAATGTGAGGAATGTGGGAAATGTTTTGCGGTAAAAAGTGTTCTCAAGACACACATTCTTGGACACAGTGGTATTAAGGAGTTCAAATGTGAGGAATGTGGGAAATGTTTCTCCCGGAAGGGTAGTCTCAAGACACACATTCTTGGACACAGTGGCAAAAGAGAGTTCAAATGTGAGGAATGTGGGAAACGTTTCTCCCGGAAGGGTAATCTCAAGACACACATTCTTGGACACAGTGGTGTTAAGGAGTTCAAATGTGAGGAATGTGGGAAATGTTTCTTCCGGAAGGGTGTTCTCAAGACACACATTCTTGGACACAGTGGTATTAAACAGTGAATGTGAGGTATGTGGGAAATGTTTTGCGGTAAAAAGTGTTCTCAAGACACACATTCTTCAACACAGTGGCAAAAGAGAGTTCAAATGTGAGGAATGTGGGAAATGTTTTGCGGTAAAAAGTGTTCTCAAGACACACATTCTTCAACACAGTGGCAAAAGAGAGTTCAAATGTGAGGAATGTGGGAAATGTTTTGCGGTAAAGAGCGCTCTCAAGACACACATTCTTGGACACAGTGGTATTAAAGATTTTGAATGTAAGGAATGTGGGAAATGTTTCTCCCAGAAGGTTCATCTCCAGAACCACATTCTTGTACACAAGGGCAAAAGAGAGTTCAAATGTGAGGAATGTGGGAAATGTTTCACCACCAAGGGTCATATCCAGTACCACATTCTTGTACACAAGGGCAAAAGAGAGTTCAAATGTGAGGAATGTGGGAAATGTTTTCTACAAAAGAGTGGTCTTACTATTCACAAACTTCTTCAGTGGTGTAAAGAAATTCAAATGTGAGGAATGTGGGAAATGTTTTCTACAAAAGGTTGGTCTTACTAATCACAAACTTGTGCACAGTGGTGTAAAGAAATTCAAATGTGATGAATGTGGGAAACACTTTGCACGTAAGAATACTCTCAAGTACCACATTCTTGCACATACTGGGACAAAACAGTTCAAATGTGGGAAATGTTTCTCCCAGAAGAGTACTCTCACAGACCACATTCTTATACACTGGCATAAAAGAGTTCAAATGTGAGGAATGTGGGAAATGTTTCTCCTGAAAGAGTAATCTCAAACATAATAAACTTATGCATTAAAAAAACAGAATTCAATAAATGTTTGAATGACTTTAACAGAAGGTAAATGTGCCACATAAACTTGAATACAGTGATATACATCAATATAAAACCACTTGAACAAACTCTATGAATGTAGCAGAAATAAAGACAAGTGACAAATGCCATTTTTATAGATATTAAACACAAGTTATAATTATCTGCTCTTAAGATGTAAATTTCTTTATCATGACATGATAGAATATGTTAGAAAAATAAACTTGTGTTAGTTGAGGGGTATCCTATGAGTCTAGTAGAACTTGTACAATAATTTTGTTAACATGTAATGGTCACATGTAGACCCAGCCATGTTGATTTGGCTTGGTCAAGTCAGGTGATGTTGTTGACTTAGTCATGTCCTGTTGTCACTTGTGTATTGTACTAACATGTACTGTACATTACCAACTGTGATGTACTAACATGTACTGTATATTACCAACTGTCATGTACTAACATGTACTGTACATTACCAACTGTCATGTACTAACATGTACTGTACATTGCCAACTGTGATGTACTAACATGTACTGTATATTACCAACTGTGATGTACTAACATGTACTGTATTGTACATTACCAACTGTGATGTACTAACATGTACTGTATTGTACATTACCAACTGTGATGTACTAACATGTACTGTACATTACCAACTGTGTTGTACTAACATGTACTGTACATTACCAACTGTCTTGTACTAACATGTACTGTACATTACCAACTGTGTTGTACTAACATGTACTCTAATGTACATTACCAACTGTGATGTACTAACATGTACTGTATATTACCAACTGTGATGTACTAACATGTACTGTATTGTACATTACCAACTGTGATGTACTAACATGTACTGTATTGTACATTACCAACTGTGATGTACTAACATGTACTGTACATTACCAACTGTGTTGTACTAACATGTACTGTACATTACCAACTGTGTTGTACTAACATGTACTGTACATTACCAACTGTGTTGTACTAACATGTACTCTAATGTACATTACCAACTGTGATGTACTAACATGTACTGTACATTACCAACTGTCATGTACTAACATGTACTGTACATTGCCAACTGTGATGTACTAACATGTACTGTACATTACCAACTGTGATGTACTAACATGTACTGTATTGTACATTACCAACTGTAATGTACTAACATGTACTGTACATTACCAACTGTCATGTACTAACATGTGCTGTACATTACCAACTGTGATGTACTAACATGTACTGTACATTACCAACTGTCATGTACTAACATGTACTGTACATTACCAATTGTGATGTACTAACATGTACTGTACATTACCACCTGTGATGTACTAACATGTACTGTACATTACCAACTGTCATGTACTAACATGTACTGTACATTACCAACTGTCATGTACTAACATGTACTGTACATTACCAACTGTGATGTACTAACATGTACTGTACATTACCACCTGTGATGTACTAATATGTACTGTACATTACCACCTGTGATGTACTAACATGTACTGTGCATTACCAACTGTGATGTACTAACATGTACTGTACATTACCAACTGTGATGTACTAACATGTACTGTACATTACCAACTGTGATGTACTAACATGTACTGTACATTACCAACTGTGATGTACTAACATGTACTGTACATTACCAACTGTGATGTACTAACATGTACTCTACTGTACATTACCAACTGTGATGTACTAACATGTACTGTACATTACCAACTGTGATGTACTAACATGTACTTTACATTACCAACTGTGATGTACTAACATGTACTGTACATTACCAACTGTGATGTACTGTACTAACATGTATTGTACATTACCAACTATGATGTACTAACATGTACTGTATTGTACATTACCAACTGTGATGTACTAACATGTACTGTACATTACCAACTGTGTTGTACTAACATGTACTGTACATTACCAACTGTGATGTACTAACATGTACTGTACATTACCAATTGTGATGTACTAACATGTACTGTACATTACCACCTGTGATGTACTAACATGTACTGTACATTAACCAACTGTGATGTACTAACATGTACTGTACATTACCAACTGTAATGTACTAACATGTATTGTACATTACCAACTGTGATGTACTAACATGGACTGTGCATTACCAACTCTGATGTACTAACATGTACTGTACATTACCAACTGTGATGTACTAACATGTACTATACATTACCAACTGTGATGTATTAACATGTACTCTACTGTACATTACCAACTGTGATGTACTAACATGTACTGTACATTACCAACTGTTATGTACTAACATGTACTTTACATTACCAACTGTGATGTACTAACATGTACTGTACATTACCAACTGTGATGTACTGTACTAACATGTATTGTACATTACCAACTATGATGTACTAACATGTACTGTATTGTACATTACCAACTGTGATGTACTAACATGTACTGTACATTACCAACTGTGTTGTACTAACATGTACTGTACAGCTGTGATCCTAACATGTACTGTACATTACCAACTGTAATGTACGAACATGAACTGTACATTACCAACTGTGATGTACTAACATGTACTGTACATTACCAACTGTGATGTACTAACATGTACTGTACATTACCAACTGTAATGTACTAACATGTACTGTACATTACCAACTGTGATGTACTAACATGTATTGTACATTACCAACTATGATGTACTAACATGTACTGTATTGTACGTTACCAACTGTGATGTACTAACATGTACTGTACATTACCAACTGGGTTGTACTAACATGTACTGTACATTACCAACTGTGATGTACTAACATGTACTGTACATTACCAACTATGATGTACTAACATGTACTGTATTGTACATTACCAACTGTGATGTACTAACATGTACTGTACATTACCAACTGTGATGTACTAACATGTATTGTACATTACCAACTATGATGTACTAACATGTACTGTATTGTACATTACCAACTATGATGTACTAACATGTACTGTACATTACCAACTGTGATGTACTAACATGTACTGTACATTACCAACTGTAATGTACTAACATGAACTGTGCATTACCAACTGTGATGTACTAACATGTACTGTACATTACCACCTGTGATGTACTAACATGTACTGTACATTACCAACTGTAATGTACTAACATGAACTGTGCATTACCATCTGTGATGTACTAACATGTACTGTACATTACCAACTGTGATGTACTAACATGAACTGTACATTACCAACTGTGATGTACTAACATGTACTGTACATTACCAACTGTGATGTACTAACATGTACTGTACATTAACCAACTGTGATGTACTAACATGTACTGTACATTACCAACTGTAATGTACTAACATGGACTGTGCATTACCAACTGTGATGTACTAACATGTACTGTACATTACCAACTGTGATGTACTAACATGTACTGTACATTACCAACTGTGATGTACTAACATGTACTGTACATTACCAACTGTGATGTACTAACATGAACTGTACATTACCAACTGTGATGTACTAACATGTACTGTGCATTACCAACTGTGATGTACTAACATGTACTGTACATTAACCAACTGTGATGTACTAACATGTATTGTACATTACCAACTGTGATGTACTAACATGGACTGTACATTAACCAACTCTGATGTACTAACATGTACTGTACATTACCAACTGTGATGTACTAACATGTACTGTACATTAACCAACTGTGATGTACTAACATGTATTGTACATTACCAACTGTGATGTACTAACATGGACTGTGCATTACCAACTGTGATGTACTAACATGTACTGTACATTACCAACTGTGATGTACTAACATGGACTGTGCATTACCAACTCTGATGTACTAACATGTACTGTACATTACCAACTGTGAT